AAAGCTTTTCCTCATCTACTGCATCCAGCCTGCTCATGATTTTGTAAACCTCTAAAAAATCTCCTCCCATCTCTTTTCTCTTCACGGAGAACAGTTCCAACTTATTCAATCTGTACTCATAACTTTCTCATTAACTTTCTAAGTTCCTCATTCCTGGAACCATTTGGGTAATTGGCTTCTGCATTGTTTCCAGTGCATTTGCACCTCTCCTATAATGTGGCATCGAAACTGTAAATAGCACTGCAGCTGAAGTCTAACAAGTGTCTTACACAAGGTCAATGTTGCCTCCTTGCTCTAGTACTCTATGTCCCAGTTATTAAAGTTGAGGGCATAACTGCTCTCTCCACTTTGTCCTGCCACCTTCAATGATGCATGCACCTACACCCCCGGGTTCCTTTGCTCCTGCCCCCACTTTGGAATTATACCCTTGATTTTATATTGTCCATTAATGTTCTTCCTTCCAAAGTGCATCACCTCACACTTCTCTGCGTTGAACCCCATCTGCCACCTATCATGCCTCTCTACCAACTTGGCACTGTCCTTGTCACTTCTAAGTTTACAATTCTTCTAAGTTTTGTGTCTTCTGAAAACTTTGATATTGTCCCCTGCAAACCAAGATCTAGATCATTAAATATATATCGGGATAAGCACGGTCCAAATATCGATCTGAGGAATTCCACTACAAACCTTTCTCCGTCCCCAAAAAAATGATCCATTGACTATTACTCTGTTTCCTATCACTTACACAATTTTGTATCCATGTTGCTCTTGTCCATTTTATGCAGCAACCTCCAACTTGCCTCGCAAATCTGTTGTGTGCCACTGTAACAAAAGTCTTTGGGAAATGCATGCATGTCACATCAATAGTGTTGTTGCCTCGAGCCTTTCTGTTACCTCTTCAAAAAACTCCAGCAAGTTAGTTAAATGTGATTTCTCCTTTAGAAATGATTTGAGTTGGACAGAAATAGGGGCAAGAGCAGTTAGTTAGCTCTGTGCAGTCAGGAATCACAAGTTGATCTGGAGAGCTATAAAAGTGGTGAAGTTACTGTCTCTGTTTTTGATGGGAGCCGTGAGGGGTTACAGAAGTCTATGCGCCTTGATATGTCAGTGCAACTGAGAGAGTGGAGGTTGAATAGCCCATAAGCAGTATTTGCTTCATTGCTACTGAATCAAATTAGAACTTTGGGAAAATCCAGAATGTATTTAGCTCAATAAAGGTGGTGTTGTGCTGATGAGTGCAGTTTTGGAATCCAGGGAAATGTGAACCCAGGACAGGAGTGTGATCAAGTGGCACAGGAGCAGTTGTTATTTTGTGGCTCTTGGGAGAGAGTTTAAAGCCAGATCAGTGAGCATGAAGAATTGTAATCCCTTATGAAGTCCCACCATGTCGTTAACGTCTGGGATGAATTGCTGAAAAATCCGTGCATTCCGTCTTGATTGCATTTGCTATTTGATATTGAGTCATACAGTTATACAGCACGGAAACAGGCCCGCACTGACCAGACATCTCAATCTGACCTAATCCCATTTGGCCCATATCCCTCAAAACCCCTTCTATTCATATACACATCCAGATGCCCATCTCAACAAGGTTCTGTTTTATTCTGAGGTATTAATCTTTGCTGTTCACTTCACCACCTATTTTGGTGTCATCTGCAAACTTACTATCCATGCCACCTTTCTTCACATCCCAATCATTTATTGAAGTGATAAATGGTAGTGGACCCAAGGCCGATTCTTGTGGCCCACCACTGGTCACAGGCCTCCAGTCCAAAAAACAACCTCTATCACCATCCTCTGTCACCTACCTTCAAGCCAATTTTGTATCCCATTGGCTAGCTCCCCCAGATCCCATGTGATCTAACCTTACTAACCAGTCTGCATGTGGAACCTTTTCAAACACTTTGCTGAAGTCCTTACAGACATATGTGCTTTGGTTTGTTTGATCACAGGATATTACCCTGTTCACAAAATAATCTCTGTGTTAGAAGTAATTTGTATGCGGGACCTAGATTTACCCGACTTATGAATGCATGTACTTACAAACATGATTTCATACAAGGGTGTAATTTTAAATATCTGACATACTAACATTTCCTGTACTTACAAATAGCTGCTTTATGTTGGTCCTGCAAAGTGTTCCGACTTGCCTACAAATCGACTTGTGAACGAACTCAGGAAAGGAAGCCGGTCACAATCCAGGGGCTGCTTGCACATGTGTTATCAATTGTATTACTGTTCTAACATTGCATAGTAAATTTGATTATTGTTTCTTCAAAGCAATGAAATCTTGTGGCATTATTCTCTTAGTAAGTCTCCTGGACCTTATAATTTTGTAACCTTAAAAATAAAGATTGGTCCCTAACCAAATCATAACATAATTTGAAGATCTTGTCTGGAATCTCAACATAAAGCAGGCAGTCTGGTCTGGGATATTGACAACACTCAGTCCTTTCATTCAAATAAATTGACAGACTGTACTAATTTGTAATCCAGGCTGTATGGCTGTTAAATATTTTGTCCTATTCATCACTTCTGGTCAACTTAATATCTTGCATTTATGAAGCACTCATTGGAATATTTGTGCATGGGGCAAGTAGATATTTGGTATGCAAGAAGAAGAGGTCATGGCTGTAATTAAGTCTGAGAGGTGATAATAAAGTGAATAGCTAGGTACAAGAAATGTTCCTTTGGTTAGAGGACATCAGGGCGTGGAGGTGTTTGTCAAGGTACTGGTCTGAAGACCAGTATTGAATGAACAGGCATTCCCTTCAACTAAATATTAGGAAGACTGAAGTAATGTTCTTTGGTCCTTGCCTAAGAGATCAATTCCATTTCCTCTCCCTGGACATTGTAAGAGGTTCATTCAGACAAATTGCAACTGCGTTGTTTTGGACAAGATGAGCTTCCAACCACATTGGCTCCATCGCCAATGCTGCCCACTCTTATCTCCATTATTATCGCCCAACTCCCGCTGCTCCCTCAGATTACCTAGTGCCCAGATGCCTTTGTTTCCTCTGCACTTGACTATTGCAGTGCTGTCTTGGCTGATCTCCATCATCTAACCAATAAAAAAGAGATTACACTGCTCCCTGAATCCTAACTTGCATCAAGTCCAGTTCAGCCATTATTGACCCACAGTTCAGCAACACATAAACTTTAAAAGTCTAATGTTGTCAAATCTCAGCTCCGATTTGCCACCCACTCCTTTCCTCTGATTTTGATCATTCAATTATAGGTGGCTATGCCTTCAGTGTTCTAGGCGCAAAACAAAAATGTTATTTCTAAAACTTTTAAACCTCCCCTCGCCACTTTAAGACTGTTTAGAAACCAATGCTGTGACCAAGCTTTCAGTCATCTGTTCTAATATCTTCTGTGACATTTGGGAACAGTTCCATTATAGTGAAGGTACTGTATAAATTGTTCTGAAACAGATCTGAAGCATGAACTGTTTCTTTCTCCACAGGTACTGCCAGACATGCTAAGTATTTCCAGCATACTGTGCTTTCTATTTCAGATTTGCAGCATCTGTCTATTTTTCAGCTTAAATATGGTGGGGTAGTGTGTCTAGACAGGTAGCTTTTGCTGGGAACTGGCACGACCAAATGGGCTGAATTACCTCCCTCTATGCTGCAACCATTCTAAGCTTTTTATTGAGTTGCTTGTTACTGGGAGCTGTGTAGGTGTGTAATCCCCTAGGTTGTTTGTGTGAAAGGAGACTTATTTCAGAGTAGAACGGAGCTGGAAATGCTAACATAAGGCTCTGCAAAATAAATTCTATTGAAATGTGGTAGACAGCACTGGGATAACCTTCGAGCAGATGCTACATTTCCTATCTTTAAATCCATTGCAGCCTATAGCAATGCTGTCAGAGGAATGTAGTGAGAGGAACATTTTGGGTGTCTTTCAAATTCTTTCCTGCCCCCATTTGAGAAAGTGATTAGCGTTTAGAAAGGTATGTTGATCCAAGGCTGAAATTGACACCAAGGAATCAGGATTATTTTGTCATTCTGTTCTTTTTAATTAAACTTTATATTTTGATTCATAGTGTGGAAAAATTACTTACCTTTCCTCCTTTCTCCCCCAACCCCCAACATTCTCTCTCTCTCTTTCACTCTGTCTCTCTCACACTGTCTGCACTAAAAGTACCTAAAGCCTGAAGAAAGCCAGTTGATTTTCCCTTGCCAGTAGCTATAAGCTGTGTTTTTTAAACTAGCTGCTAAGAGACTTTGCAGTTAATGTACCAATCACATGTGCCTCCTGTGAAGAAATAATATGAGCCTGGAGATTGAAGAATAGAAAATCCGTGCAAACAACAGGAATATCTCAATGAATCCTGTGGACTGAGTCCATTAACTGCTTCCCAGATCTTTTCCTTCCACTTAGAGGAAATGTCTTCTATTTTTGTTGTGTATTAGCTTTTTAGAAGCGGATTAGAATTTTAACTAGTAGCATTATATTGCAACAGATCATAATTGTTTACCTGTAGATAGAATCTATTCATTTGTAATAAATTGTACTTACTGTTAACTATAGAACCTGGTCCATGTTTTCCGTTAACCTGGATCTATCCAATGGGTAAATTGGGGGCTTTATGTACTTTGACTGACTGTACTTTGTACTTTTTAAATACTGTGATGACTCCAGGACTGTCAGAGCTTGAGTTCGAATGCGCTACTCCAGCGAGGTGTGACATGTCCGAATATCTTTGCACCAAAAAAGCAGCTTAAAGAAAATCCAAGTTTGCGCTGATGATTGATTAAGTCTGGAATGAAGGCTATTTTGTGGACAGTGTCAAGATTGTAGAAATTTGATCTCTCAATTCTTCTCTTGTGCAAGTTTAGCCAATTTTGGGTGAATTGCATTGAAAAACAACACAACCTGTCAGGAATGTCTACTTGTGGAATAGTAATAGTCATTCAAACAGTGGAAAGTGCATTGATTTATTTTGTTGTATAATTTGGTGCGCTTGTTCTCACTATTTTTATGTCCTATTCCAGGGAAAGCAATTTATCAAAGATTTCCTGAAGTGTAATGCAGTTGGAATTAAATCTAGATTCAGCTGCAGTATTCGAAGATGTCTTGCAATACAGCAGATCCTTTCCGAATTGCAAGAGACTTGTTACCAGAAGAATGACATCTGTGCTGTAGCAAATGATAATGCTGATGCTTTTGCGGAAATGATTGATCTACACAATATGTTATCAAATAGGTGGGTATATATTGAGTTGTCTGACTTGGTTTTTCACCTTTTCCTCTACTATTGTTGAAGTAGGCAGAAAAACTGTGAACATCACCAGGACCGGAATGTAATTGTACTTCTTGGATGAGTAATATTGCATTAGATTTTCTTGCAGTCAAACTTTAATTTTGTATTTACAAAGTCTCTTGCATTTTTGAGTTTTTTTTTGATAGAATTGCTTGTTGATATTTTTCCCATTTTTTGTCACCATTAGTTTTGATCAGTTTAGTTTGCATTTTGCAGGAAACATTTCACTATTAGGGTGTACTATCTGACAGCATTGGCAAGAGTAGAAAAAGGGGATAATGTAATTTGAAATTTCAGGTTTGGACTAAAGAAGCTTTCATTGAGAAGATTCGACAATTGACTTGTTTTTCTTCCTCTAACACTCAGTTCTGTGATGTGATCTATAACTGTTTTTTTCCTTAGAACAAGAGTAGCCCTACAAGTCTGCCATATGCCTCAATGAAATCATCACTGATCTGTGAAATGCTATTTGTGTTTGTCCCTTTGCTTCGTGCCCATTAATAGTTTAGATAACAACCGGAGTTAAAATTCACAGTTGAGCGGCACAAACTGCCAAGTGTGGAAGCGTTCCAATTTCTACTCTCCTTGTATGTTTCTAACTTCGTTCCTGAAAATGCCTGTCATTTTTAAATTATGTACCAGTCTTCAATGTTACTTTAAATCATAACACCATCTAGACTTAGAACTATATTGCTGTTCCTTCACTGCTGCTGGGTCAGAATCCTGTGAGCGCTGTGAAACATCTGCACAACCTACAGTGGTTCAAGAACTCAGCACCATGTTCACACAGGAAATTTGCGATGGACAATAAAATGCTGGCCTAGCCAGCCACACACACACATCCTTTGAAATGAACTAATTTTTATTTTCAAAAACAGTCTACCCTCAGTTCCCTGGAAATACTATCTTAGTTGTTATGACGTTGTGGGAAGAAACACTAAGATATTCAAGGAGAAGCATTGAGAATCATAACTCCACATCCTGTTGAAATGTGTATTCCTTTTTGTTTCTTCTATGTTCCCTCCACTGGTATATTCATATATAGTAGCATTAAGTGAACAAACTGCACAATGCAATTTTCAATACCTTGCAATTTTGTAGTTGCTCCTTCTATATAAATTTTTTAGTTGCCCTAAATGGCAGCCAATCCAAATCCAATATCTTCTTACCAATGTTTTGAGCCAACCAGAACTGTGCATTGCTGTAGCATAACCTCTATTCCTTGTAGTGTAGTCCCTTGTAATTTCAATTCTTTAGATCTGGTATAAGGTATGATGTGTATATTATGTGCTTGAATGCATTGTTGAAAACAATGGGCTTGCCTAAGTAAGCTGAGCTTTGATCAAGACACCATTCCAGGAACCCCCGTGTTGAGAATTTGCTGACATAGTTTTGCCATTAATTTGAAATGGCAGCGCTAGTGGAAAAGAAGATCTTTTGGACTCACTGGGTGAATTTTGTGGAGGCAGTCCATCACTGGACTGAACAACCAGCATAAGACAGACATTGCCTCTTCCAAGGAAGGCTTGCTGAATCACATGCCAATTGGTCACTGGCAAGGTCAGTAGTGGGCATTTGCCTGAACTAAAGACCTCAGGGACTGTTGGCCAATAAGAGGCTGGTAGCTCCTACACTCAGCAGCGCCAGGGAGGAGGCTGCTGGAGGGGATCCCTGGAGTCCTAAGATTATAAAGGACCTAGGACAAAGGTAAGAAGTTTGGAGCGGCATTGGGTGTATCAAGTAATGGTCACAGGGAGAGGAAAAGCCAGGGGAGGGAGACAATAAGAAGTCAAGGTCAGATGGTCCCACCTGGCAGCCCCTGTCTTTATCCTGTCCCTTGTTTAGGCACTGATTACCTTTTGATCATGGAGATAATCTCCCCTTCCCTGTACCCACCAGGTGCCAAGCTGCCAGCCTGGGTCAGTCAGCTGGCCATGGTAACAGGCCTGCTTGCAGCTCAGTGGTTGTGGACAGTGGTCCATGTTGGCCACTTAAGAGCCTTGATTTATAACTGGATGGGAAGGTCAACTATGCCACTGCCCAACTTGGACTTGATTCTGATGAATGTGAAAAGGTGGCAAAGTTTCAGTCCACTAACATCCCACCTAATTTCATGCCCTTCCTGCTCCAGGATCACCACCTCTGCAATCTGCATGTCCTGCCCTTTGGGTGGAAATTCACTTTGTGGTTTGATATGAGGGATAAACTGATTGAGACCCCAACATTTCCTGCATTTGCCCTAACTTTAAGTTTATATTCATCCATTGGTGGATGAAATCCAAAAAATAAACCTGTTGGACTTCTCTGGTGTGAGGGATTCCTTATTCAAAGGCTCTTGTATCCTCATTGAGGGAACCGGCAAAGGGAAGTGGAGCCATTCCCTGCCCTTGCAGCCCACAGTCCCTGTGGTCCTGACTCTCTGATGGGTATAGTGCAAACAGTACCCATCACCTTCCCAGTACTCTGAGCAATGAGAAGGTTGGCAACTTTAAATATCTAGGACTTTTGTCTCCAGGGCCCTTGGTCTTGGGTTAGACTTGGTATTGACCAGTTGCCTGTTTAATTGGCACTTAATTCAGCAAGTCTTCCCAAAAAAAAGACAGCACAATGCTTTCCAGTTGGCAGTCAAGTCCCCTGTCAGCTTCATTAAATAGTGGCTGTTATATATCTGTTGAAAAAGACTGAATATTTTGATAGGACTTGAAAGAAAAGGAGATTACATATTAACGTAAAATTGTGGCTTCTTTTTTAAACAGGGTGTACTTAGAATTTGTAAAGGTGCTATTTGACTGTGATACTAATATTGCTAATAGCATAAGGAGAAGTATACAAACTCGATTTGGTCCAAACCTTGATATTTTAAGGAGAATGATTCAAGATAATTCCTGCAGAATAACTGAGAAAGCAACATTACTTGGTAAGAATCGAACACCAGGATCTACTGTGAAGCCTGAGAAGGTCAGTAGAAGAGGGAGAAGCCTTGGATTAGACAACCTTACATCTAGAGATGAATACTGGAACCAGAAAACTGAAAAACCTGTACATAGATTTCCATAATTGTGCATAGATTTCTGCATTAAATGCTAAATGTACAGTTTGGTGCTACTCGTAGCTTGATTGATAAAATGCTGGTTTATTACAGCACCTTTTAGTTATCTTATTCCCCACGTCAGGCATTAATCATTGCTGTTGTACACAATAGTTTTGGTACTAAACAAAATTTCAGCCTTTTAGCGAGGAAACCATAAAGAATAATACACCGTGTAGAGTATAATAGTGTTTTAAAGACAATTTCACAACTGGATAATCAGAATATTCCTGTGAAGTTAAGTAACACTTGATGGTTAATTATTTACTGAAATATATCAATCTTCCTTGGAATGGGTGAGAAACTTAAAAATGAAGTCTCATTCACAGTGTAAAAGCTCTATCTGTAAACATCTAGTTCCTTTAACTATTCTGTGCAAATCACTAATTTTGTATATGTATAGAGCTGGAAAAGATGTAAATAGTTGTACAATGATTTTTTTTTTGTGCATGTACCTTTTTATTAAACCTATTTAATTGCTTTTGTTTTTATTTCCTTGTTACAGCCCTGTTTCCAGTTGCAATATAGTTTCATTTTCTCCTTTTTTGGGTGTCTTATTTCATCACTTGATACTGCTTTTTATTCACCTTGACAAAAGGAGGTTGTATGATAAAAAGACCTAGTGTGTATGTTTGGACTCAGTTTATCATCTTCCTTATCCTGTATTTTGGTTAAGCTTAGGGATAGGGTTAGTATTATTTGTAACCTATTCTCTGTATATACCTGTGTTGTATGATTTTGCTCTAAATATTTCCTCTGCCAGTCATTACTTTCTTGCTAGGTGGTAAACAAACCAACTAAGGAGGGTGTGGCTAGAATGCAGTATGCTGCTTGAATGTAGTAAACATTACTTGAAGCTAGTTATAGTGCTCATTGATTTTGTGATAATGTAGTTGGGTCAAATTTTGCAGAATGTATGCCTCCTAGCTAAATTGTTTATAAAATGTAATGTCCCTTCAATAGCTAAAACATATTTTAGATTCGGCATGCAGAACTGTAACGTTCTCTACCTAATAAGACAGCTTTTATTAAATGATGAATAGTTCCAGCAAATTATTGAAACTAGTTACAACTAGTGAACAAAATCATATGGCCCCTTTAGCCAGTTGTGTTCTTCATTTTCTAGACAAGGACACATTTATTTTGATATGAATAGTTGAGTGCCAGCTTTTGAAATCCTGCTTGTAAGTCTTGTGTTGTCTTTTATCCATCCAAAAATTATTTCATTAATTTCCCTTTACAAGTACTGGCTACTTTGGCCACTTGTATTAGTCAAGATCCTATTTTCTAACTGCCTGTGGTGGAAAGCCATTGGGCTATGAATAAGAGTGAGAGCAGTGTGATCTTAATGTTCTCAAATATTCAATTTCTGCAGGTGCCATTATATAATCAGTAACAGAAAGTCTGTTTTTTTTAAAAATTTTGTCTTTTTCTGGAATAGCCCAATTGTAGTTTCCTGACTGAGGACACATAAATGGGTCAAACAATAATCTTGCTGACCTGTTTGACTTTGGTACTTGGTGGTAATATACCAAGTGATTCATCTTGGAATCAGATCATCAACCAATATAATTGCCTCTTGACAAATGGTGAAATGAATGAATTTTTAATTGCACATATTTTCTATGTACCTTTTTACATTTGAGATCTTTCAACAAAGCGCCACTGCTGTTATAAGCTCCCATTAACCATCAGATGTGTAGGATTCCAAGTAACTTGGCATCTCTCTTGATCCTTGATGCCAATTAACATTTGTCTGGGACAGGAACATTCAGTACCCAGCTGGTATTAAATGTTTCAGTCTCGCATGCCCCAATTTGAGATGAAGGTCAATGAGCATGCCAAGTGTTTATTGATGGGGGCTCATTGCTATCCACCAAGTGAATCTATTTTGTTGGATGCACACAAGTGTTTCTCCAAGAGGTTGCAAGAAGTTACAATATCTTAAAGTAGGAGCACCACTATTTACCCAAACTTGAAGTTTGCAAAACTCCTCAGAGGTTTTTTTTCTAATTTGTAAATGCTGGTAGCATGCTAAATATGGGAAATGTTAAGCTAACTTGTGTTTGATTGCATTGCTTATGCCAGCTATTTAATGTTTCTTGTTTAAAAGTAAAACAGACCTTGTATGCAAAGTATTCCAACATAATTTTTAGCACTTATCCAAGCACTTTTAAATCTGCTTTCTCTGCTAAACCTATTTACCTACTGTGTTTGACACTTCTGTGTTTTAACTATTTTAAAACTTTAAAAAGCCCCATCTTCTGTGAAATAGTTTAGCCACATAATCTGGAAGGTAAGCCAAGCTGAAACCTAAATAATTTCAATTTAATGTATTGGTAGTTAAATGCAGTGATATGTTGGATCAGTTTCTGGTGATAAAATGTGACATTATGCTTCACTGTATTTAAGCACAAGGGATTCCATTAGAGGTTCATTTACCATTTTTGCTGCTCAGCTTCTGATTATTCACAAATCTGTATTAAAATTCTAATATAGTATTACAGAACTGTGTTCTAGACACTCGCAGGACTCTAATTAAACAGTTCCAGTAAAGCTACACAAATGACAAATAGCCGACAAAGTAGAAAATTGCCTAGGTATGCTCTTTTCACAAAGTCAACCAATTATAATCTCAATAGTCTATTCTCTAACATCATTGAAGTTTAGTTATTCAGATTAAGACTACTCTGATCTACACCTCATTACAGCATTCATTCAAATATAGATAAAAGCTGAATTCCAGAGCTAAATGATTGCTTTAGATGAAGGCATCATTGAATGTGTAGTAGCATAAAATCCAGGTGAAATTGAAGTCAATGGAGGTGAGAGAAGCTTTTCACTGGCTGGAATCATAACTCACAAGATGATGATTGTGGCGATTGGTGGCCAATCATCACTATCAGTGGTGCAGATATTCCTCAAGTTGATACTGTAAGTTCAATAATCTTAGCTGCTTTCTCAATGACCTTCCCTCTATCATAAGATCAGAGTGACAGTGCTCACTGATGATTGCATAGTGTTCCAACTGTAATAAAATCAATTTTTTTTGTGTCCATGTGTGTTGTGGAAACTAGTACATGGGAAGATTGTAATGTTCATTGCTGCATTAATTTTTTGTCTAGGAGCAGGGCGAGGACCCTGTTGTTTTAAGGGGTCATTAAAATGAATTCAAGGGCCTATAAATAGCAAGCAGTTTTGTTAATGACAGAATCAAAGAAGGTGACTACTGTTTGTTGGCTCCATGGAGTTGATGCAAACAATGATCCATAGATAAGAGGATTTTGTTCTAAGCAGCTGGAGAGTTAGAATTGTGTCAGTGATTTGTTGTTGGCGCTCATAGGATGCAATGCACAGAGTCAGTCAGCGCAGCTAGAAAAGAAGTACAAGAAATCTGGGTCTGGGAGATAAGGGAAATTCATGGCCAGTACCAGCTCTGTGAAGCTAGCTGTTTATTTAAAAACATTAAAAATAGTGTCAGTAATTAGGTATTTGTGAGGAATTTCAGGAATCTGGCAAATGTAATCTCGAGAGAAGAGATTGAACTACCAAAACACGAGCATGTTTTTTGAGGAGATTCAGAGGCTAAATCTTTGGAAGTGAAGATTTGATGTGGTTTAAGAGGAATGTAATGTTTTAATGAGATTTGGTGACCCACAATATCACTAACAGTTTGACAGGCTGTTGAGAAATCCATCTGTCTTGTCTGCACATGCTATTTAATGGGCTCTGTAGGGTGTTTGACCACAGTTCTTCTAATAACTTACATTTACCTCATGTTAATTCTGAATGTTAGAGTATAAGTTGTATATATTGAAGATTGTTTTACTTTTCTAAATTTGTATAGTAAAGTTGTTTTTTTGTTCAAAACGCTGAAATCTTGTGATTTTATTCCCTCAGTTCCCTGGGATTTAAAACATACTTTATTTTAAGCAAATAAAGGTCCCCATACAGACTGTAACACAAATTTGGAAGTTGCAATTGGGAAAATAACATGATCCATTTGCAGCACCTGCAATATTGTAGCAATCTGATAATATGCAGAAAGATCTGGAAAACATTCAAATTTGAGTTGAAAGGAGGCAAGTAATATTTTGCGCTTGGCAATGACCACCTCAGTCATGATATTCAATATCAAGTTCTACACACGGACCCATCAACATGTTGGAGTCATCATTGACCAGAAATCTAATTGCAACAATTGCATTATAACTGTGGTTTCAATGGAAAGGCAGTGATTAGATGTTCTATAGCACCTGACTCCCCAAAATCCTTCCATCATTGACACGACTAAAATTAGTAATGTGATGGATTTCCACTTTCCTGGATGAGTGTAGCCTTCAAGGACACTCAGGAAGCTCAGCACCATGCAGACCAAACAGCCTGTGGAATTGGTAACCCATTCATCATCTTAAACCTGCGCTTGCAGAAAAGCCCTATATATGTATAGGCACCATCTGCAATTTGTCAAACCTTTTAATAGCCCTTTCCAAAGTTGTGCTCTTTACCACTTAGGAGCACAAAGACAATTGGTGCATGAGATCTCAACATTTGTTGGTTCTCCTCCGTCATGCTAATGATAATGGTCAATCAATCACTTTTCAGAGATTGATAAATCTGTGGATTAGTTTACTTAAAACAGTAAAAGTTATAAATTATAAAGCAGACATTACAGCAAACCAACTGACTTCTGTATTAACTGCCAGGCAGAGTTTCAACATTGTATACACACAGTGCATGGAGTCCTCTTATAAGTGAATTCTTTTAAAAGCAACAACCATGCACAACACCTTCCAAGTCACGTATCAACCTGACTTGATGTGGAGGTGCAGGAGTTGGACTGGGGTGGATAAAGACCACCCGACACCAGGTTATAGCCCAACAGGTTTATTTTAAATCACAAGCTTTCAGAGTGCCACTGCTTCGTCAGGTAAATGGAGCTACACTCCATGAGCTTGTGATTTCAAACAGACCTGTTGGTCTACAACCTGACTTGACATTCCTTCATAGTTGTTGGGTCAAAATGATGGAATTCCATGAATAACAGCAAAGTGGGAGTACCCGTATCACATGGATTTTAGACATTTTAAAATGCCTCTCTATCACTATCATCTCAAGAGCAATCATGGATAGGTAGTAAATAATGGCCTTGTCGCATCCCAGGAAGCGGTTATTTTAAGTCACTTTGTGTATCACCAAAAATGTGTTTTGTGATCTGTTGTATTTTAAATGATGCAGACAAAATTTTACGACTTACTCTGAAAGAACAATATGAGGCATAATACCCAAAAGACCAGTATTGTCTCCCTGAATTTTCAGTGTTCCTTCACTTTC